TTGTCTTTGCCCTCAGGCTGTGTTTCACTCTGGGGAATATTTCATTGCATGGAGGGTAGAGGTCAGGAAGAACATCATTTTCCAATACACACCTCCCAAGTTCTCTGAATTCTTTGTACTCCCTCACTTGTGTTTGTAAACTAAACAGTTCTTTTTGAGCTCGAGTCTCTTGTTCAGCACTTTACCAAACATGGCTATCTACAGCCAGTTCAGACTTTTAACATTCATTTTGAATAATCTCATCCTATTCAAGTTTAGTGGTAATGTCCTCACTAAATGGTTCTCGATTGCACAACACAGATCATAATTTTCCTAAGCTTCTTATTGCTATTCCTCCACCATGACTGCTGAGTTTTAAAATACAAATTCACACCAATTTTTCCTCCAATTGTGCCTACTGCTAGGTTTCTGTCTGAGTCTTGGTAGTTAATGCCATGAAACAAATCACAGGGAAGTTCTGTGGCTTGCAGCAACTGCAAGTGTTGTGTCTCATGCTCAGGTGTGCCAGGCACCTACTGCTGGGGGCAGAAGCCCCTCAGGCCTCCACTCCAGACCACTCCACGCCCTACCTCGCCCTGCTCACTCACCATGCCCTGTGCAGGTCTTCTCTGAAACATGACTGGATCAGTCTTCTAGCTGCGTGTGCTCATGGCTCCCTATTCCTGTCTGTCAGGAATAAAACAGGTCAAAGATTGTGAAGACGGGAATATTTATAGCCTCTTCCTTCCTGCCGGAGGGAAGCGCATTTGGCCAGCACAGTGTCTTCCTTTTTTCACTGTGCTCTAGAGGAAAGATTTTCTTGATGAAAGAGACTTAGTAGAAGAGTAATGAAAGAGGCGGAGGGGTAAGGAAGGTGGAAAGGAAACCAAGCCAACTCAGAGCCAGACGGGAGCTCTGGGCCAGATGGACTGGAAAGGTCACATCTGAGTGAGGCATGCAGTAAGGGAAAAGATAAGAGAAAGAAGACCATTTCAATAGGAATTGCTGGACTTTAGATTCCTCTTAATGCCCTTTGAAGGCTGTAAATAAGGAATTTGATTGCTGTTTCATTGATTTTGGCTTTTGAGCTGGGCTTGCCTCTATGCAGATTTGAAGCTATTTGCTCACTCTGGTATATTAGGGTTATGGTAGCACCTCTCACTGTGTAATTGTGATTCTGCAACTGTTTGAGTCAAGTCTCTGTCTCCCCAAGGCAGTCATGGAAGAAGGAAACAGGGCAGTTACGAGATGATCATGCTCCCAGCCCTTAGCTTTGCACCCGACTGTACAAAGGATGTCTTCAGTAAGAATATGGTCAGTAAAATAAATGCTGCCGAGAAGGCCAGGGCTTTGCCTGGATCTTGTTTATTTCTCCTTGACTTCCTGGAGTGATGCAATCCACATCTGTGTTCTTGAATGAAGCACCTCTGCTAGGTCCTCTTTTTATTGACATTTCATCACCATCTTTGTAAAATACTGAGTCGTCTTTACAAGATAACTCCTGATGCAAGATATTTCCTACAGAAGGCCAACTCAACGGTTCAGAACTTTTGTTCTTAATATAGAATGTGAAAATCCTACAATCAGTGGGGAAAATGTATGCTAAGTAGATAAAAAATCAGTCCCACTATAATACAACTCTCCAGAGAAAAGAAATAAAACTGCTTGATGCTTCAGTTAAAAGAAAAAAAAGCCTAACAAATATTTCCAGTTCCGGAAACTGAATTTCATTCCTAACATAAATATAGCAGCCTCTAGAGAAGCGGATCGTGTTTGGAACAAGGAAAGAAGGCAGAGGGGACTTGGGTAGGAGCTTCACCACTAGCTCTGGAGCGGGGAAAAGCCAAGAAGTCAACCTTTTCTTAAACAGCACCTACCCTTGCCAGAGAACAGAGCATTGTGCACTGAGCTCAGTTTGAAGCCCTGGTCAGCCGTGCATGAGGTATGTGCTCCATCCCCAGTACCAAAAATCAAAATGAGCTTGAGCATTATCTTTTTTTTTCTTTTTTCTTTTCTTTTTTTTTTCTGGAACCAGGGATTGAACTCAGGCTCTTGCGCTTGCCAGGGAAGGACTTACTCTACTGAGCCGTCTCCCCAGCCCCACTGAGCATTATCTTGGCTCTGTCTTTTCCCTCAATCCCTACATCACAACAATCATGGAATTCCAATGGTTGGTTCCACCTCCCATGGAATTATACTTCTACCTGCTTTCCTCCTGCCTAGTAACCTGGTCCAAGCTGTTCATTTTTTGCCTGGACTGCTCCATTGGCCTCTCCATCACCCTTACTTCCCTTTTGTCCTCTCCAATTCATTTTTCAGGTACCAAGATGACACCTCTAACATATATAAATTGAGATCCCTTGTTTGCAATGTGTAAAATGCCCACTGTTCATCATGACAATGAACATCTATTGTGATAGGGATGATGAGAAGATATGAAGGAGGGAGAGACAACTCTTTAGAGTTTGCCATAGAGGGAGCAGAAGCACCGTGGGGAGATGAAAAGCAAAGCCAAGTCAACTCATTTTTCTTTTTTCCAGTAGGACCCTATTTATAGGCTGATCAGAATGTAATAGTGAGAAATAAATGGTGCTAGACGAAGAGGAGGTGGTCATTTCAATGCCAAAATTCTTGAGAGCTTAAGTGACTTGGAGCATGGAGTGTTAGAAAGTTGACTTCTTGGAAATTTTTACATAAAATGAATTCATTCATGAGGAGATTGCTGTAGGCAGAGGAAATTTTTAAAAATCGAGCTACACATGATGCACTGAATGCGTCTGCTGCAGAGGACAGAGGATTTCTCCACAAGTGTGTGATTCTACCTTCCCAAATCTCCGAAACTGTTTGTTTTAATAGATTTTTTCTTCAAAGTGTCAGCTCCCAGGATAGTGACCAGACCTTCCTTCTGCATTTGGCCAACTCCTGCCCGTCCTGCAGAGCACCCTGCAACAGCTCCCCCTTGGCAGCATTCCTTTGTCTCCAGGAACACAGCATACTATGGTGGCTCAGAGACATTGCCTTTAGTAGCTTGTCTCTTTGCCAGAATAGCAAAATAAACATCTCTTGGCCTACAAGTATGGTGCTACTGGAAAAGAGAAAATGGTTTGATTTCTTTTTGCTTTTAGATCCCCATCTAAAAGTAGGGGCTCGTGGACTTTGTTTGCCCTGAGTAGATGCCATGTAAAAAAAAAAAAACAACAAAAATCCCAATCCAGTAACATCTGGAACTCCTACACAGCCAAGGACAGATATGGTTGGGTCCACATTCCAGTGTGGGAGTGATTATCTAGAGTAAGCAAGATGCTCCCTTTAAATGGAGCCTGCCAGGCCCGCCTCTCTCTGGCTGTTTCATTCCCAGGCATACCCCTCTATATAATCACCATCACCCTAACAGACAGATATGGGACTGAGAGTTTCCAGTGCCATGCTTGTGGGAGGAGCTTAACGCGTGCTCTGAACTTAACTTTCAAGCCTCACTGTCTTATCACGTGCATCTGTACCCACCCACACAGTCCTGGTCCTGAGTGCCCCTTTTCCACTAAACCCCTCAGTCCTGCCCATTGTCCACATTCCCTGAGCCCAAGATGCCCTGCTCACCCTTCACACCTCAGCTCAGTGGCCACGGTCTCCAAGGGCCTTTCCCAGCCCTTCAAACTAAATCGGGTCCCCCTGTAGCAAACTGACATTCCAGACCTTTCCTGCATTGCTGTTATTAGTGGGTTAAATGTGTGGGGGCAGCTGTTTAATGTCTGTTTGCCTAACTCAGATACAAGCTCCAGAAGAGTGGGGACAGTGACAATGCCCTTGTCGATCCATTGTGTCTCATCTGGTACCAGAGGGATGGCAAACTTGAATAAATGTGTGAATGAATGAATGAATGAATGAATGAGCGTTGGCAAGAGCAGGGCTTAGGCAAGGCAGAAGCCAGCTGTCAGAGGGTACACAGTGGTTCTACTCTCTGGACACTGCAGAATCCTGGCTCATCCTGTCCTGCCACTCTAGTCTAGCATGGCTTGAATGTGTTTGTCTTGCCTGAGACCATGACCATCCTGCAGATAGGAGTCACTGACTCAATTTTTATTTTCAGGGCATAGCGCAGAATTTCAAGAACATATATTGATGACCAAGCCAATCAATCTGGGTTCCCTCGAGGGCAGTTTCTTTACTCATGAACTTAACCATTATGTCTTCTCATGACCCTCCAGTTGGGTCCTAATCCATAGCCAAGCTGTATCATATCAGCAATGCCCATCAAAAATGTGTTGGTGGTGGCTATGTGACGTCTATTCTCTGACTATCAAGCTTCTGTTGGTCTAGGGCATTTTTGCTGAGGTTTAGAGGTGTTTCATGAGCATCGTTATCCTTACCATGCCCAATAACTGCAAAGTAGGAAAAGAATATCATGTGTGAAGTTTTAGGATGGAACCCAAAATGAACAACTTTACAGGAGTATGGAATATTTGACTCTAGATAAATGTATGTGTCAGGTTTTTTTTGTCCAACAGGAAAAGTATTTTATCCACAGAAGATTAAAAAAAATACAAGTCATAGAAGGTTCTGAGTTCACGCAATGCCTCATCAGTGAGCCAGGGCACATAATTAATTGACCGGAAGGCTCGGTGGGATTAATTAGCAGCTGTACGTGAAAAGCTTGATTCAGACTGATAGCTCAGAGGATAGTTTTCTAGAACGACCAGCTCCTGGGTTCACCATTTCATCACCGCAGGGGGGAATCTCACTGATGGAATTGTGGGGTCTCCTGGCTCTCCTACGGGCCAGTACAGGTAAGTGTACACTCGGCTGTGGCCAGCAGAGGGCAGCAATGCGCTGTGTGTGTTCCATTTGCAACCCAGAGGCGCAAATCCCCAAGGACCTACAAAGAAAGTGGGTGCCCCAGACTAGCTTGAATCCTTCTTTTTCCAGGTGTCACCACTGGTCTGGGCAACTCTAAACACAGGCCTGTTGATGACATTGGACTTGGGCTCAACTGAAATAGAGAAAAGAATACACAACCAGGAACCGCCATCACAGACAGGAAGTAACTTTAATTAAATATCGTGAAAGTTGAAAAGTTTTTACAGCTTGAATTTTTGCAAAAAAAAAAAAAAAAAAAAAAAAAAAAAAAATTAAAACAATCTCTACAGTAGTTAGGTTCTCTAACAATTGAACTGTACAGTGTGTGTCTATTCAAAAAGTTTGGATAAGAAGGTGAAAGGTTAGTAGATTTAGAGATGACTTCCTTAAGCGGCATCCTAGTACAACACGAGGGCAGGGCGTGGTACGCAATCCAGTCATCCAGAAATCCTATTCCTCCCCCACAACTGAAATCTCGATTGAAGTCTCTACTTCGCTTCCTTCTTAAAGCCATATTCTGTATTTAGGGGGACAAATTTTCAAGGAACTGGTGAAATGATTGTGTAGAAGGCCAGAATATCTTTCCATCTAATCAATAGAAATAGGAGCAACAAAACACAAATTATACACATTTTAAAGGCTCTTTGGGCTTTCAAGAGGAGTTCTAACCATGGCACATGGCTAACAGATTGGTGGCGTCTTTTGTCAGGGTCTGAGCCAGACACGGCACCGGCTTGACCATCCGTTCCTTTGCAAACAGTTAAGGGGCTCACGAGACAAAATATGGCTTTAAATTGTATACATCTTCAGGCCAGCACTTACCACACGAATTCAGACACTCTTGCTGAGTACCGAGACGCAATGCTAAACCTTGCTTACATTTTCCAGTTTATTGTTATGATTCATCATTGTTTCTCACCATGAAAAATCAGCTTTCATCCCTCCCTCCCCCTCCTCTCCCCTCCCCCACCCCGCTCCCAACCCATAAAAATCGCACTCTGACAGTCTAGTGAAACCATTGCAAAATCCATATGGGGGCATGCACAGTTGCAGCATTACTGTAAATGATTTCTTGCTCTACTAGAAAAGTTACATTGTCTTAAGGTAACAAAACAGTCCTTTTGTGCTTTTCAATTTCTTTTTTTTTTTTTTTCTTTTTTTCTTTTTCTTTTTTCTTAGAATGTTAGTGATGTCCGACAGTTCTGGTGCACGGTTACAATGTACAAGTGAAATGAATATGATTTGCATTGTTAAGGCATCCAATCTGCTGGTTTATATTTATGTGAAGGACAGGAAATATACAAGCAGACTTAAGAAAGAAAGTATGTTCATTGATTTCTATGAAGTTTCTCCCCCGAATTTAATGCACAAAATGCGTCACTCCAAAGGGAGAGATTCCATGCATATTAATAGGGTAAAATAGCATTAGGTTTTTTTGTAAGTTTTCAAAGCAAAGAATACATTTCTTTCAAATCTACAGAACTAAATACTACAAGAATAATATGCTACTATTTTTTTGCCATATATTGGAAAAAACTTCTTAACTTACAAATAATACAAAAATAGACAATGGCTTTTGGGTGGAAATTTAAAAAAAAATTGAAGCATGGTTTAAAACAATACTAAAAATACTGTAGCTATAAATGAAATGTTTAAAAATCACATTGAAACAGCTAATACAACAGTAAGTGACCAAACAAATACCCACTTTTCACATAGCAAACATACACAATAAAATAAACTAGGGTGGAAAGGAGGAGGAAAAGCAATGTACAAATTCCAAAGATAAATACATTATTTATATGGATATTTTACAAAATCCCCATTAAAACAAAAGCCTTTCAATTAACATTGCAAATATGTGCAAGCTAAAGGTAGTGAGCTTTTTTTTCCTTTTTTTTTTTTTGCAAAATATGCAGTAAAATCTTCCTATGAGATCGGAAAACCACCTTAAGACATTAAAATGTATAAATAGAACAACAACTTTGGCAAAAAAAAATCACAAAAAATCTACAATATTTATAACTACATACAAAAACACAACAGCAAAGGAAAAAAATCAGGCAAATGCATCCTAAGAGCTTTGCTGCGTCTTTGCTATTAATTCTTATTTTTAAGAACACTTCTCAATTAATGAGAGCAGAAATTCCCATAGAACAGAACTGTTTGGAGATTTCAGCCTTCTCCTCCTCCCCCAGGTTCCTTCTATCCTTCACTCCACAGCACTTCACCTGTGGTTTTAATCTATTGTGTCACAAATAATGTAAGGGTCGGTAGAGTCAGGGACCCTATTTTGAATTGGAAAATCAAAATACATGCCAGTTTGCTTTCCTGGGTTTTTATTTATTTATTTAGGAGTATTGGTATAAGATCAGCATTTAGAATTTTAGAGTCAACTTTAAACCCATGGATGGCGGAGTGTCTGTGACATTTTGGCTTGATAACTGGAGGGCAGGATGCCCGTCCCCTATTCCATGAAGTCTCCAAGAGTTTCTCACACAGCGTGTGTGCCACCAAGCTCTTGGGAGGCTGTTGGCTTCAGAAGGAGGGGACACACATGAAAGAGAGAATGACACCAGATTTAAATAAGCAATTCTAAAATCTGTCTAGAGGCACTGGATTTTTTCAGTAGAAGGGGAAAATGTAATGACTTCCACCACTTTGTAACGTTCCAGGCTGCATTTATTTACACAGTTACTTAAGACAACAATACAAAAGAGATAAATAAGCTTGTACTGCTAAGGGAGGGCGTGTTAAGTTAGATATTGAAAATGTACTGTCTGACCTATCTACCATTTGATATGCTTTAAGGCGCAAAAGCCGACCCTTAGTTTTCTAAAAAATCTAACTGGCATTCCTATTCTGTCCCATACAAGCTTTTTTTTTTTTTCTTTTTTTTCCTTTTTTAACTTTTTTGTAAATATCACCACTTCATTCTCCCTTTACACAGCTTTAAAAACATCATAAATTAAAACATGGAATCTTATTTATAGTGTCCCTTGGGTTCTAGCTTTACGGTTTATAAAAGACAAATGATTGCAGAGTTAAGCTTTTAAAAAAAGAGAGAGAGAGAGAGAAAGAAAAAAGTGGATTTGTTTTTATCAATACAGAATAAATATATCCCCCGGTACTTGGAGGCACAACTTTAAACAACACCCTGCACTTGCAGCTCCCTTCCGATTTCGGTACTTGTGAAGTCGGTGATTTCTGTTTGTTTAAAAATCTGCAGTTATTGTAATTCCTCTTAAAAAGGCCTGAGTTAAAAGTTCCACTCTGGGACTTGTATCAGATCACTCGTGTCGCAGAATCCAACTGCTCCGTTCATAAAATTCTTCAAGGCAATTCTTTCACATAGGAGGGACGATCATGCCAGATATCGCTATGGAAAGAGAAAAGAGAAGTCAGTGTTTATGCATAGAAACCGCTCGCCAAAGGGAAAAAAATTAAATACCCAGGCAGGACTACATTGATTAAATATTAACCACAGATGTGTTCTCTTCTTGGGAATGAATTTTTGTTCCAGAATATACGTGCTGTATTAAAAATTATAGCAACATGTACGTATCTTTTAACAGAGCAGAATATCCTGAGTACCCGCCAAACCTGATCTTAATTTTAAAATATAATTAGAAAGCTGCATAGTTTGAATGCTGCTGGAAAAGTTGCAGCCTCAAACCTTGCAAAGCAGTGAGAATATTTTCAATTTGTCATTCTTCTTTTCCTTCCCTTCGCATCCAAAAAAATAAAGAACTGGCTCATTACAACTGCCTGTAATATACAAAAATAAAGAAGGGGAAAAAAACCATAGCCCTCCCTGTGCGACTTATTTTAGCAGGAAAAGTGAGCCACCACGCAGCCATGAGTGCTTCCACTTCAGTCCCAGACTGGAAAAGGAAACGCCAGAGACGACAGGCATTGCTCCTGGGAATATAAAGTTGGGAGAAAGCTTGGAGTGAGAGCTGAAGACAAATTCGCATGAAACCATAGAATGTCTTCCCTACCACGGCTTGACTGAAAATTTCTCGAATGATCTGACCAAGTTTGATAGAAAACAGTAGCCTCGGAAAGCCAGGGTGAGATCCCCGGATGAACAGACAGTTTCAGGTAACTGGAACTCCATTCAAAGACCTGGAATTGGGGGGCCACTCGGTAGCATTTAGACAGCATGGAATGGGACAGGACAGGCCTTCACCTCCAGCTCATCTGCTTTCGATTTCATTCTCCCGAGGTAGCTCCTTGGACCTCAGCCTTCTCAGCAAGAACATGTCACTGGTCACAGTATCAGGGGAGATTTCAATAAAATAACAGGTGTCCTGTGCTTATCCTGGGTCAGCTCCGAGGCAGGACCTGAGATAGGCTGGCAGGTAGGCTTTTTAACCCTTTGCTTTGACTGTCCAGCTAGCAGCGTGACCCATGCTCAATGTAGCTTCTCTGGGCTATATGTCCTCTTGTGTCGGCTAGGTACCCTCCCCACCTGACGGAATAAGTGGATAGTTGTAAGTGAATTAAAGCCATGTGTCAACTCTAAACAGATCAGCGTGAGAGAGATGCATACATTAGAACAAGAGCCAGTGGTGGTCCTCAGCTCCGAGCAATAGCTTAGTGTCCTCTCAAGGTGTGGACAGAAAAAGTCCTTGCTGTCTTTTCAATGGCATGTCTAAGCATCAGGTAATGTCCCTGTCAGTGCTGCCGGTGCCTGGGATGTGACTTCCTTCGTTCATCAGCTATTACGTCTGTAAGAATGTGCCTTCTGGGGGTGAGCCCCACCACCACAGATTCTGCCCCAGACTGGTGAGGCCAGGCTGCATCTGGGCCCTGAGGCCCTACATTCCTCCAGCTTCCCTACTCTCCACCCGACACTAGATTCAATTAAAACAAAACTCAAAAAGCACTTTGCCAAACACTTTTTCCGTTAATTTTTAAGCCCATCTGTATTCATAAGGAAATTCAACCCACATGTTTCTGATTCATTTACACGTAAATCATCCAAACGCTGTTTTGCAAGAGCCATTCTGCAGTCCAAAAACTCCTGGAGTCCTTTTCATAACCCTCCAGAAGCCCCTTTTTTTTCTCCCTTAGAAACAGGAAGTTGTCTTTGGCCAAACACTGACCAATTTAAACCCAAAAGATTTGGGATCCATTGGAAATGTGTTCTCCTAGGATCCAAGGGAGCCCTAGATTTGTCTGAAGTGGGGAGCTCACTATTTCACTCCCTGCCTTGACCTGGGAACTCAAGACACTGTAGGTCCACAGCAAGGAGTGCTGAGCTCCCTGCGGCATGGTGTGGCCGAGTAGCTTTGCCGCCCTGAGAGTCTTTGCACCCAGGCTCCAGGGGAGTCCAGGCCCCTTACTTAACACAGCAGGAGATGGATGCCTGTGGCACAGGAGCAGTGCTGTCTTCTCCTTACAGCTACTCTGTGAACCCTGCACTACCGGGCAGTCCCTGTCAGCAGGGTGGTAACTTGGACCTTGCGCACACGAAGCACAGCAAAGTAGACCACTGACAAGTGCCCTGCTGATTTGGTGCATGAGCCTAGCCAGCCTTTAGCATCTGGGCCATGAAAACCTTCCATTGAGAGGGCCAGAATGTCTTTTAAGTCCTAACAGTGTGTTGGTACTGAGTAAAGTGTTAGGTTGAATTAAGATTCCAACTTAGGGTCACATTAAAGTTCTAAAGAAAGCACACAGCGAATCTATAGCTGATGACACTGCTAAGCATGGAAAAACGGGGGGGGGGGGGGGGACAAATTCCAGTGAATGAGGAGCCAGGCTGGGCTGCTAAGTGAGCAGAGGGCCCAGGAGAAGGGCCAAGGGCACTGTGGCCAGTGCTGCAGTGGGTGGCATCCCAGCTCCCCAAATGCTGCTGTACAAGAATGCCTGTCAGGGCCATCAGAGCTTATGGACTACAGTAAAAGCAACATAAAGATAGATACTTTTTGTTTAGTTTTGTCAGAGATGGGTATTCCATTGCATTCAAATATTGTAGGTGTGTGAATTCAGCAAAACAATCCATTATAGTCCAGGAGACCGTAATAGTGCAATGTATTACTTATTGTAACTGCCCTACTAACCTATTTTAAAACTGTCTCATTGCTATTTCTTTATCAATAAAATTAATTTTTTTTTCTTTTCAAAGTTTTATTGATAAACATATAGCAATGAGACAGTTTCAAATCAAATCGAAAGTACAGTTTC